GATCTTTTTTGTATAGTCCTTCTATGTATTCTTGCCACCTCTTCTTAATATCTTGTGTTTCTGTTAGGTCCATACCATTTCTGTCCTTTTTTGTGCCCATCTTGGCATGAAATGTTCCCTTGGTATCTCTTAGATACCAAGTTTCTTGAAGAGATCTCTAGTGTTTCCCATTCTACTGTTTTCCTCTATTTCTTTGCATTGATCACTGATGAAGGCTTTCTTTTCTGTCCTGGCTATCCTTTGGAACTCTGCATTCCAATGGGTATATCTTTCCTTTTCTCCTTTGCCTTTCAATTCTCTTCTTTTCTCAGCTATTTGTAAGGCCTCCTCAGACAACCATTCTGCCTTTTTGCATTTCTTTTTCTTCAGGATGGTCTTGATCCCTGCCTGCTGTACAATGTCATGAACGTCCCATCCATCGTTCTTCAGGCGCTCTGTCTATCAGATTTAATCCCTTGAATCTATTTGTCACTTCCACTGTGTAATCACAAGAGATTTGACTTAGGTCATACCAGAATGACCTAGTGTTTTCCCTACTTTCTTCATTTTAAGGGTGAATTTGGGGCTTCCCAGGTGGCTCAGATGGTGAAGTGTCTCCCTGCCATGTGGGAGACTGAGTTCGATCACTGGATCAGGAAGATCCCTTGGAGGAGGAAATGGCAACCCACTCCAGTACTCCTGCCTGGAAAATTCCGTGGACAGAGGAGCCTGGTAGGTTACAGTATATCCGTTCTGTATATAAAGAATCGGACACGACTGAGTGACTTCACTTCACTTCACTCTGACAATAAGGAGTTCATGATCTGAGCCACAGTCTGCTCCTGGTCTTGTTTTTGCTGACTGTGTAGAGCTTCTCCATCTTTGACTGCGAAGAATAAAATCAAACTGATTTCAGTATTGACCGTCTGGTTATGTCCATGTGTAGAGTCTTCTCTTGTGTTGTTGGCAAAGGGTGTTCGCTGTGACCAGTGCGTTCTCTTGGCCAAACTGTTAGCCTTTGCCCTGCTTCATTTTGTACTCCAAGGCCAAATTTGCGTGTTATTCCAGTTATCTCTTGACTTCATACTTTTGAATTCTAGAGGGTGGGCAGAAGACAGTTGGTTACAGGAGGATGTGGGGGGCGTTGCTGACAAAGTGAAACGTTATAGCCGCCATGAGACTACTGGCTGTCCCTAATGATTTGGGGGCGTAGGGTGATGGCTGTGTGCGTTACAATCAAGATGGAGTCCAGTGGTGGCCAGGAGACTATTGGCTGTGGAACAATGGGAGGCCGTTGCGCACCAAGTGAAACACAGAGGCAGCGATGACACTATAGCTCTGCTGCGATGGGGGCGGGGGTTGCGCAGAAGGAGCGCGGCAGCTAAGAGACTATTGACTGTGGGCCCTGCTGGAGCGTTGCTCATGGGTCAAATCCCGCGGGGGCTAGGAGACGATTTGCTGTGGGGTGACGGGAGAGCGTTTGCAGAACAAAGTGGAACACAGGAGACTATTCGCTGTGGGACTGTGGGAGGGCTTTGGGCACAAAGTGGAACGTGGTGGCCGCGATGACACTATCTGCTCTGGGGCGGTGGGAGGGCGATACCCGGCACTGGCGATGGGAGTACAGTCCATGCGACCTTGTGACAGCGTTGAGGACAGAGTGAGCGCGGGGATCATTGAGGAGACAGTTGATTACGGGACGACTGGAGGGGATGTACGCACAGGAGGACCTGCGGTGGCGATGAGACTGTTTGCTGTGGGAAAGTGGGACAGAGCAGAGCTCCAAGGTAAACCCGGTGTGGTAATGGGACCTTGGGCGATGGGAGTGTGGCACAGCTTTGAAGAAAAGTGAAAGCCCACGGTGGAGACAGGACATGAAGGGAAAACCTGCGGCCGTGAGCCTAGAGGCGATGAGACCGTGGGCGGGAGCTGGACACAAAGGGGCAATCGGCGGTGGCTTTGAGACTTTGGGCTTTGAAAAGACTGGACGGTTCGGTGCGGACAATGTGAAAGCCAGCACCGACGATGAGACATTTGTCCGTGGGACGCTGAGAGGGTGTCGTGCTCAGTGGGAAACATTGTGGTCTCGATGAGACAATTGGCTGCTGGACGATGCGAGGGCGGTGCGCACAAAGGGGAACCTGGCACTGGCCAGGAGACGCTTCGAGAAGCCACGATGGGAAGGCATTGTACAGAAAGTGAAACACGGCGGTGGGAGGAGACCTTGGGCAACGGGAGACTGGGACTGCATTGAAAGAAAGTGAAAACCGGCGGCGGCAATGAGCCTATAGGGAAGGGTCGTCTCGAAGGCGATGCGCGCACAGGAGAACCTGCCATGGCGATGAGACTGTGAATGTTTGCCCTGGGAAGTCAGAGCGCGTCGCGGGCAAGTGGAAAACAGCGGAAGCGGTGAGAATACTGGCGATGGGACCATAGAACCGCGGTGTGGACAAAGTTAAACCTTGTGGTGGGGGTGAGCCTATGGCGATGGGAGATAGGAGGGCCTTTCTAGTTTTAATGGATGTAAACTTGATAATATTTTCATGATTACTTTTCACTTAATTTTAATTGAGAGAATTACCATGTTTGACAATTTCTAGTGACCCTGTGATAGTCTTAAGTAATTTTTAACTCATGTTCCTGAAATCTCTTTCCGAGGACTACATTGTTGGAAATCAGGGTTGGAGTGAAGAAGCAACTAAGAACATTTAGAAGGTCAGAAATTTTCATTTACTTTAGTAAGAATTTTAGAAACTTTTTTATTTTATAAACTTTTCAATTTATAAAAGAATTTTATAAATGGAATTTGCCCGTATTTTATTGGCATCAAGAAGGCTTACTTCGTAAAACTCTCAAATGTAAGGTGATGTACATTTCTGCCTAATTAAAAAAAAAGAAAGAAAGAAACCCCACATTATATCAAGGAGCCCTACAACATGAGCTGTCTGGTACAGTTAAAGAAGTGAAGGAGACAAGAGCAGGTAAACTGTATGGATACATGGAGAGTATGCTGAGACGATTTGCTGTGGGGTGACGGGAGAGCGTTTGCAGAACAAAGTGGAACACAGGAGACTATTCGCTGTGGGACTGTGGGAGGGCTTTGGGCACAAAGTGGAACGTGGTGGCCGCGATGACACTATCTGCTCTGGGGCGGTGGGAGGGCGATACCCGGCACTGGCGATGGGAGTACAGTCCATGCGACCTTGTGACAGCGTTGAGGACAGAGTGAGCGCGGGGATCATTGAGGAGACAGTTGATTACGGGACGACTGGAGGGGATGTACGCACAGGAGGACCTGCGGTGGCGATGAGACTGTTTGCTGTGGGAAAGTGGGACAGAGCAGAGCTCCAAGGTAAACCCGGTGTGGTAATGGGACCTTGGGCGATGGGAGTGTGGCACAGCTTTGAAGAAAAGTGAAAGCCCACGGTGGAGACAGGACATGAAGGGAAAACCTGCGGCCGTGAGCCTAGAGGCGATGAGACCGTGGGCGGGAGCTGGACACAAAGGGGCAATCGGCGGTGGCTTTGAGACTTTGGGCTTTGAAAAGACTGGACGGTTCGGTGCGGACAATGTGAAAGCCAGCACCGACGATGAGACATTTGTCCGTGGGACGCTGAGAGGGTGTCGTGCTCAGTGGGAAACATTGTGGTCTCGATGAGACAATTGGCTGCTGGACGATGCGAGGGCGGTGCGCACAAAGGGGAACCTGGCACTGGCCAGGAGACGCTTCGAGAAGCCACGATGGGAAGGCATTGTACAGAAAGTGAAACACGGCGGTGGGAGGAGACCTTGGGCAACGGGAGACTGGGACTGCATTGAAAGAAAGTGAAAACCGGCGGCGGCAATGAGCCTATAGGGAAGGGTCGTCTCGAAGGCGATGCGCGCACAGGAGAACCTGCCATGGCGATGAGACTGTGAATGTTTGCCCTGGGAAGTCAGAGCGCGTCGCGGGCAAGTGGAAAACAGCGGAGGCGGTGAGAATACTGGCGATGGGACCATAGAACCGCGGTGTGGACAAAGTTAAACCTTGTGGTGGGGGTGAGCCTATGGCGATGGGAGATGGGAGGGCCTTGAGCACAAAGAGGAGCCAGGTGGCGTCGGGGAGATAGAGGCTTAGAGCCATTCTGGACAACGTGAGAAACAGCCAAGGCCATGGGACAGGCTGTGGGACCCGGGGAGTGCGTTGCCGACAGAGGAGAACCCAACGGTGGCCAGGGGACAAATAACCATGGGACGGTTTGGGGGACTTCCTGGGGGTGAGACAGGGTGAGACAGGTGGCCACCACCTGGGCAAGTGACCAGGAAACAGTGAGCTCCTGGAATGCTCTGGAATTTTCAGAGAGTCTTTCAAGGATTTGGCCTTGAAGTGGGGGAGTTGAGCATTGAATAGCTGAAAAGTAGGAATATTTTTTAACACAGCAGTTTAGTTTTTAATTAATTTTATATTTAATTAATATACTTATTTTAAATGAAATATTTCATGTTTCCAATTTTATAATAAATATATATAAGCTATTTAAAATATATTTTTGTTAAACAATAGCATTTTAATAAACATTATTTAAAGTAAATTTTCTTTGTATTAAAACAAGTGTTTAAGATACCTTTACATTTCTAGTTTTAATGGATGTAAACTTGATAATATTTTCATGATTACTTTTCACTTACTTTTAATTGAGAGAATTACCATGTTTGACTATTTCTAGTGACCCTGTGATAGTCTTAAGTAATTTTAAACTCATGTTCCTGAAATCTCTTTCCGAGGACTACATTGTTGGAAATCAGGGTTGGAGTGAACAAGGAACTAAGGACATTTAAAAGGTCAGAATTTTTAATTTACTTTAGTAAGAATTTTATAAACTATATGGAATCTGTCTGTATTTTATTGGCATCAAGAAGGCTTACTTTGTAAGACTCTCAAATGTAAAGTGATGTACATTTCTCCGTAATTAAAAAAGAAAAAAAAACCCCCATCATATCAAGGAGCCCTACAACATGAGCTGTCTGGTACAGTTAAAGAAGTGAAGGAGACAAGAGCAGGTAAACTGTATGGATACATGGAGAGTATGCCTATAACTTTGACATTCCACATATCTTCCTTCTGTTTTAAATTCCTCAAAGGCAGGGGCCAGAAACTCCACCACTCTGCAGGCTTGTTTTGCAATGAATGTCTCCAAGGTGCTCTGCAATTTTTAATATGTGTTGTCACATAAATCAAGTTGACATTGAAACTGCCACATTGACTTTTGTTTCATAAATAATTTATTTCCATATAAAAGTTTAAATAAATAAATAATGAATAAATCAATTTAAAAATAGCTTACAGTCTTTAACTGTCCATTGAAATCCAGTGCATTGCATTGTCAGTTACTTCGAGAGCCTCTGCTGGTTGAAGAGTCTCACATCAAAGTCACATTGTCCATTCCCAGAGCCTCAGGTGGGAGATGTTCAGTCATGGAGGTACCCTGTTAGGCTCTTCAGGAAAGAAAAGTTCATGAGCATTTGCACTCGCACGACTGTCCAGGCACAGCTGTTGTACTCCATGGACTTCAGGTACTGCCCAAGGTTGAAGTAATATTTCTTCAGGTGAAGAACAGTCATGTCTCCCGTAGTGAAGTTTTTTCTCTGCATGATTTCCTTCTGGATTGGCTCCAGATGATCCATCTGCCCTTGGAGTTCCACAAGGAGGTCCTCAACGATGGTCTCAGACCAGCCAGTGCTGGAGAAGTCTCTGGTGAGAATTCCGAAGATCTGCTGGAGCATCTCATAGATGACCAATACGGCATCTTCCTTCTGGAACTGCTGTGCTTGCCTCATCTCCTCAGGGACCTGGAAGTCCATCCTGACCTCCAGGCAATGTTGAGGAGTTGAAGGTAACTGCCGCAGGAGTTTCTGACACACCGCAATGCTCCTCCTTTGTTGGAATCGAAGCAAGCTGTAGTTCATGGAGAGAGCTGTGGTGGAGAAATACAGCAGGAGAACCATCTGGAGGAGGCACCGGTAGGTCATGGTGAAAACAGGCTCAGGGCTACCTGTTCTGCTAGTAGATGCTGAAGCTGAGTCTTCAGCCCTTTGCAGAGTGAATGTCCTTTCTCCTTGAGTGTGGGCTTCTTATACAGGATTGGCCTCCATTCTTTCTATTTGAGAGGATTTTCCCACTTTCAATTTTCCCTTTCAGTTTTCCTGTGTCACTTAAATTATTAGTTGCCTCCAAAACTCTTTTTTTTTAAGCTCCTTTCTATTTTAATATATATATATATATATATACCACAGGGAAAAAAGATACACAAACTGAGAATTTCTAGTGTTTTTTAAAGTTTCAATGAATTGCTGAATGTTAAAGAAAAATATAAGCCAAATCTCTTGAACTAGATTATTACAGGATTCTTTCATTTAGGAAAGATTTTTCTTTTTCTGTTTCTGTTTTCATATTATGAGATTTGGGGAGAGGGGGCCCTGTTTGTAAGAGAGTTTTCTTTTTCATAAGAATTAGGTTTAATTCTCAATTCTGCTATTACCAAACAATAATACCTGCAGTTTATGATTTTAAAAAAGACACCTATTTGTTCTATCTAAAAGAGAATATGTTAAACTAAGTTGATGAACAAGAAATACATGATATATGTATGAATTAAATACATGCAGTTTATGACTTTAAAAAGGACACATTTTTTTCTATCTAAAATAGAGTGATGTCCCTAGAGGGGTGGGAGGGGGGATGAAGGTTCCAGAGGGAGGGGATATACATATACCTATGGCTGATTCATGTTGATATGTGGCAGAAGCCAACACAGTATTGTAAGGCAATTATCACTCAATTAAAAATAAATATATTTAAATAAAAAAAATAATGTATATAAAAAACAAAATAGAATGATTTTCAACTAAGTTGATCTGAATTTTTTGAAGGCCTTAGCCATAAACAGCAAGACATCACATAACTTTACCAACTTTGTTGTTTTCCAGTCGCTAAGTCGGGTCCGACCCCGTGGAATGCAGCATGCCAGGTTTCCCTGTCCTTCAATACCTCCCAGAATTTGTTCAAACTCATTAGCACTTCATGGCAAATAGATGGGGGAAACAATGGAAACTTGACAGACTTTATTTTCTTGGACTCCAAAATCGGTGCAGATGGTGACTGCAGCTATGAAATTAAAAGATGTTTTCTTTTTATATGAATGTGCGATTTAAATTTTTCTGGAGGCCACATCAGAAGAGTAAAAAGAAACTAGTTAATTTTAACAGTATATTTTATTTAACACAGTATATCTAAATGTTATCATTTCAACATAAGCCAATATAAACTTATTAATGAGATAGGTACATTCTTCTTTTCCATAGTGCCTTCAAAATACAGGACATACTTTCCGTCATAGTACAGCTCAGGCTGGACTAATCAAGCGCCCAGTTGACCACATGGGTTTGCTGGCTCCATGGTGACCAGAACAGCTCAAAATGGAGGGAGCAGTAGGAAAACAAGATCAATATTAAAAATCAACCACTTCTTTTTATATGAGCAATTAAAAGTTGGAAGATGACATTTAAAAATGATACCACTGACAATAACATAAAAAGTCTATTACTGAGGAACTGTCATAGTCAGAGGTGCCTAAGAAGACGTGGCCATTAAAGGTGATGGGGCATCCTAAATGACAGCCCAGAACAGAAAAAGAACATCAGGTAAAAAACTAAGGAGATCTGGGAATTCCCCGGAGATCTAGTGGTTGGAACTCTATGCTTTCAGGGCAGGGGGCCCGAGTTCCATCCCTGGTCAGAGAACTAAGATCCCACAAATCTCACAGCCAAAAATAAAAAAATAAAAAGTTGCTGAAACCAGAGTGTGTGGGGAGGGGGAGGAGAGACATTAGGCAGTTCTTAATAAAGTGTAGACTAGTTAATTTTTATTAATATTTGTGACCGGACTGGGTCTTTGTTGCAGCAGGTGGGCTTTCTCTTTTGGAGCAAGCCTGGGCTGCTCTCTAGCGGAGATGATTGGGCTTTGAACCGTGGAGCTTTCTCCCACTGCCAAGCACAGACTCCAGGGCTCTGGCGCAGTAGTTGTGGTGCGCAGGCTGAGTTGCCTCACAGCATATGTCATCTTCCCTGACCAGGGATGGAAGCCATGTCCCCTGCATTGACAGGCGGATTCTTAACCACTGGACCACCAGGGAAGTCCTAGATGTTAATCCTTTTTAATGTAGCACTGACAGGACAAATTATTTTCACTTTTGGCCTCTAAGTACAAGTCTGTAATTGAAATTTGATTCAAATTAGATGGCAGAAACTAATGAAAAATGAAGCTTTCTCTGTTACATTGAGATTGTCTTTTTTTTCCATCTTGATCATCAATAAGGATTAAGCAACTTGTCCAACGAATTCTTCTGAGTGAGCGAAAGACATGTAAGCATGTGATGAGGTGGTCAGCATCAGTGAGAAGGGAATACAGAGTCTACAATGGGAGACTGCCAAGGCCGCCTCCTACTGAGACTCACAGTGTCATTTAGTGAGCAAATAGTTATTTAGCAAAAGTTTCTTAACCACTTCATAAAGAAAAACAGCAAATGCTGTCAATTTATTGGACTATTTTTAAAATGTCTCTCAATGAAGTTTTGCTACTGGCTTGATTATATATTTTTCACCTCTATCTGAGGTTTTTTCCCAACATATTTATTATTTACTGTTGTTGCAAGAATGAATGAAGCAGTTTTTTCATTACATTTCCTACTTTTTAATGGACTAGGTTTTCCTTGCATTTTCATACACAAACAAATATCACAATAATTTTGGTTGTTAGTCTAGCTAGCTTTACAAATGTTATATCTGAATGTATTTGGTTGGATTTTGAAATTTTTAAATAAATGTATATTGTCTGCAAATAAAAAATTTAAAGGACTTAAAATATCAAGTGTGATGATCATATAGAGCAACTGCTATTTGGCATATAAATTTGTACTTTAAAAAACACTTCGTAGCATAGTTGAAATATGCATAGCTTATGACCTAGAAAGTCCAGCAATCACCCTGGAAAAAAAATCAAGTGAATATGCTTCAGGATATAAGAAAAGAATATTTATACCAGCACTATTGATAACAGTACCAAACACGAAATGACATAAATATCCCTTAAAATGGCATATATAAATAAGTTGTTATCTATGCTTATAATAGGTTTGTTAATAACATGATGTAAGCAGCACAATACTTGCACAAACATAGTAGTGAGTAGGAGAAACTCAACTCAAAAGAAAACACAAAACATTTGAATAAATGTATACAAAATTTAAAAATAGGCCAAACTAGACTGGAGACATTTTGCTGAGCAACCTGGAGAGCTCCTGTGAAGCTTCAGGACCACGATGGAAAGTCCGTCTCTAACTTGAGGGAAGAGTGTGTCTTCCCAGCTTCCAGCTGCGGCCTGGCTCTCGCCCTCTCTCAGCACCTGAGGCTGACTCTGCCCAGGCCGGGGTTGCCCTGTGCTCACAGCCGACAGCTGGGGGCCAGCGCCCCTCCTCAGCCTCCCACCGGGTGTGGAGAGGGACAATGTGCAGAGAGATCTAAGTGCCCCTGGCTGCAGTCGTCTCTCTTCTCCTTCCTCATACCCTGGACATCTTGTCACAGGCCTTGGATAGACTCGTTTCCCAATTTTTTTCTAGCTCACTTCAGAATGCAGCTGGAACTAGGTTCTTGGCTAAAGGCCTCTCTGCCTAGCTCTCCTAACTCCTCCAGAACATACCCAACCAGAGGATCCTACATCTGCACCCCTGTCGCTCTCAGAAGGATCCCATCAGAGGGTCGATGGCCCAGGAACAGTCGGGAGCAACCCATGCCTTGTTTTCACTGTTTGCTGCCTGGACCCGCTGCTGCTAGACACTCAGACTGGCCCTTTCAGAACATGCCTGTCTGCATCAAGCCTGCATTTACTTCAAATCCCAGGCCGTTCTCTGAGCTAGACAGTAATTCTCAAAATCACTATCTGGGGTGCAGTGAGCCAGGGCAACCTAAGTTTGAGAAAACGGTTAAAAGGACAACACATTGGCTGCAGCTGCTGAACAAGCCTCAGAGGCCTCCCTCTGCTGACACGTGAGAAAGTCCCTCTGTGTGGGTTCTGGGTTAATTTCCTGTCTCTGAGGCAGTTTCTGAATCTTCCTTAAAGTGAAACAGCCCAAAGCAATGCCATCTATATACTTAAAACCAAGTGACTTGAGTTTTGTTACATCATCAGAGATTGTGTAATGAACCCCAGAAGGCAAAAATAGCAACGAAGCTGATGCAACAAGTGAAAAGGAAACTAAATGCAAGCTGCCAAACGGGATTTCAGGATCCAGGCTGGGAATCCCCTCTGGCCCGACCTCCTGGCTGAGTTGAGTGCACAGCGCAGAGCATCCCCCTGACTGCCTCCCAGACGCCTGTGTCCTCCTGGCTGAAACTCTGAGCTCCTAAACTCCAGGAGAACCAAGAATCCAGTGAGGGTGGGGGTGAGCCCTTGTATGTAGCTGGGCTGTGTGCCACGTAGGAATGTTTCCGCCTAGAACTCTGGGTATTGTTGCAGCAGGCTTGGCCTCGTCATCCCAGTGAATGGCTATTTCTCCTCTCACTGTGCAGTGGGTGAGCTGCAGGAATCTGTCTCTGAACAGCTCTCTGGGAACTGCCTCATCTTCCTGACCACAGACCCAGAACGTCAGGAAATAATCTTCTAACTAGATTCAAATAAAAGAGTTAATACGTATGGAGTACTTAGGAAGTGTCTGGTACCATTCTGAGCATGTGCTACAAATTCAAGCAATTAATCTTACCACACTTTCAAGATAAGGTTTTATGATTATCTTAGTTTTGCAGTTGAGAGATAATGCAGCAATTTATAACTAGGCAATCTATTTTTATGTACTAATGAAAAAAAATCGTAAAGATCTATTTGCAAGTAAATATAAATAAATGAGAAACTGAAATAGATGAAAAATTTATATTTATGTGATATATGTTAGTATATCCATATGTATAGATTTATTAACTACATAAGAAAATGTCTAGAAGGGTACCCATTAAATTGTTAACAGTATAGTATTAGGGTGCATCTTCCTAG